TTAAGCTTGAGTATTCTAGGACCTTTATCTATTTTATTTTCCCGTTCTAGACTAATTTCGTGTTATTTCCCTTTTTAGGTCAATAAAGTTAAAACGGGCTAAAAATGGCTACTTAATGCCTTTTTGGAGTCAAACTAAGTCTTGGTGAGAATTTGGAGCAAAAAAGGCTGATTTGGAGCAAAAGGAGGCTAATGTTGAAAAATTGCCAAGTGAGATCTATCGCAGAAAGTTGGATCGATCGAACCCAGATCGATCAAAAGTTGGATCAATCGAAAATGTGCTGGCAGCGAGCTGTCTTATTCCCGCGTGCCTGAACTCTACTTACCAAAAAGTTGCGGGATTAGATATTTTTGGGGCTATATTTCTGACTCAGTGGCAAAGAAAAGGACCTTGTATTTAAAGGGAATTAAACCATTTTGTAGAGAGCTTTTTATCATTTTGCTTTTACATTGTAATTTTATTTTCTCTCTCTAAAAAAGTTAGAGATTAGGGTTAGAAGAAAAGAGAAGAGTGGAGGCTCCAAAAACATATCTCAACATCTACACACACTCTCTCTCTCTAGAATTCAACAAAGAAGAAGAGGAAGAAGATGAAGCCATGTTTGAGAATTGCCCTTGAGGGTTCCAAGATCACATCTACCTCCTTTATGATTGGCTAGACTTCTCCTTGGGGCTTGGATGAGCCCCAAGTTTGTAATATAAACCTTTATCTTTTTCATACTTTTTGGGGAATAATATCTTGTGATAAATGTTTTAGCCTTGTGAATTTAATGAATCTTGGTATATTTCTATGATTTCTATGGTTTAATTCTTCTTATTAATTTTCTAGTTTATTTACATGTCTATGCGTGATTAAATTGGGAATTATGTCTCACATGATTCATATGGTTTAATTCTTCCTATTGATTCTCTTTGTGATTACATGTTGTCTTACGTGTGATTATTTGGGAATTAATCTCTACACTAGTTTTTCTATATTAATTGCATGTCTATGTGTGGTTGATTGAGAATCTAGTGATGGCTAGACATGGATTTTATTAGATGGTTTGTAAATTAATTTGATGGATTATTCTTATGCTTGATGGGTTGTTCTACAATTTAATTTATGTTTGTAGGTAGGTGGACAATCTATACTTGAGTTGATATTCCATGGCTTATTGTTGCAAATTCCACGATTCTCTAGATTGATGTGTGCTATAATTGTGATTAGTTTGATGGGTCATGCTTAGAATTGATGGGTTGTTCTACACTTAGTTTATTTGTTGGTTAGGTAGACAATACATTATTGAATTTGATGATCCATGCTTAATATTGCAATTGGTAGTCGCATTTTGTTCACAAGAATGTTTTCCCCAAATTAATTGAAAGTGTGTGGTTTGGTGAACAAGCTTTGTGGCAATTCCAATAGACCCCAAGACCTCACTTCTCATCTCTTAAATCCCTATCTCTACTTAGTTTTATTTTACTTGCATTTTAATTAATTGTTTTCTAGAGTAATCAACCAATCTCTCCTTACAATCAATTGATACGTTAGAGTCGAAGTTAAATTCCAACACGTATAATCTCTGCGGACGATCCCTACTCGCTATACTTCATTAGTTGTAGTATTGGTTTTTATAAACGTAAATTTGACTAGAAAGGCTTCCAAAACCACATTCATATTTTGACCTTGCGAAACGACCTCTCACATTAAAAAATCCGTTTTCTAAACACATAGGAAGGGGTTTCTCAGTCTCATAGCCAGGGATCTTCCCCAGCGAGGATCAGTCGTAAATGACGCCAACTCCTGCCTTGCTGCATCCTTGGTTTTAGTAAGGTTGATGGGAAGAAGCCCAAAGTTTCGGTGGTTCATCCTCAGGATGGTTTGTTTAATGTTCAGTTTTCTTTTGGTGCCGTGGTTAGCAATGCTCATAATAGGGAGTCCGGTTACTCTGATTCCTCTCCCTCGCAGTCATTTGCTACTCAGCTCACGCTATTAGTAGGGACTACTCAGCCTAAGGTAACCGAGTCAAGTTGATATTTTGGGTGTCTGTCAAGGTGGTGCCTTGATTTTCTTGGGTTCTGTTTTGTTGTTGGTTTTGTTGGGTAGGTTATGGTTTGTTTGTGCTTTGCGTCTGTGGTTAAGTTTGTTTGTAAGTGTTGTTTGGCTTGCATGTTGCCAGGAAAAAAAAAACTTATCACTCAACTAGACTACTCATAAGATATCTTGTCAAGTGCTTCCACAAGAATATTGTGCCCATGCCATATTTATTGTTGATTAAAAGATTATAGTGAAAAATAAAATAAAAAAAGAGGAGATAAAAGAGAAATATTTTTCTCAATCCATATTAGGGGTGGCAATTAAGTGGGTTTGTGTGATACCCTTCGATTCTAGAGCCACGAGTGATCAAGAATGAGCACAGATCCGAGTGATTTAAAACAATTAAGTATATAAACAAGCATGGATTACAAAAAGAAATAAGAATAAATAAATAATTAAGCTGGAAGAAAACTAAATAATAAATTCTCGAAATACTAATTAAATAATACTTCAATAAAATTTCCAAAACCTCCAATAATATTACAACTCAGGAATCCATCCCAACTGGAAATAAATAACTGAACTAAAAGAAAATCCAAAACTAAAAATAAAGAATAGTCCTACATAGTCGGAAGAGTGAGTGACTATCTTTGCTCCGCACGAATAAGCTCTAAGACTAGAACTGTCGAACACCTGAAAAATAATAATGCGTCAGGCCTACGAACAAGTTCTACTCTACTACAATCCAAACAGAGACCCGATACACATATACATCCTAAACAACTCAACAATAGCTAATTAGTCCATATATATATATATATATATACACACACACATACTAAGGACGCTCACTGGACTATAGGTCTGTCTCAACTTGAATAGAAGGCAATATGCAAATCGCACATAACGTGGGCATGTGTACCTAGACCTACCAAGGCACCCAGATGTGTACTATATCCAGTTATCCATCCTAGACAATATATGCACCCTAACCATGATCCTGAGACTCAAACTCATATCATAACAACATAAACACACATATATATATATATAAGAGAAAAATGTCATCCATCTGATATAGTGGCCTGACATAAATAAGGAGGACTTAACTCTATGATTGAACTATTCCCTTATATATCCAAGTAGGTAGGACTTAATTTTTATTCGTTAATCCATCCCTAAGATGCCACCATCCCATACTGGTGCATCACATCCATACAGTTCAATAATTGATGAAATAATTAAAATAAAATATCAATTAATTCCAGAAACAAGCATAATAAAAATTAGACATGTATATGATCATATTATGTATCTAATACAAGATTTAAAAATCATATCACAATCATTTAAGTTGCTAAAATAATATTAACCAAATAAATCCTCTATATCCATCAACAGCATGCAAACTTGTGTAAAATTTCATATTGCTCTAATCATTAGCATATAGATATAAATTATACATTATGGGATTTTAAGATGTCTTGAAAAATTATTTAGAATCCCTATAATTAACCCAAATCAATTCTGGAACCCCAAAACACCCAAACAGTGCCTTAAAACTTATTTTGTTCACATCACAGCAAGAGAGCATGCTCTCAATTTTTGAGAGCAGGCTCTACTACAAAGGGAACTGGCTTCATACACCATGGAACCGACTCTATGCAGAAGGAGCCGGCTCCCCAATTCCATGGAGCCGGCTCTCTCCCTCTCTGAGAGGCGTCCGCAGAAAAACTAAAGCAAGTCGGCTCCATCCCTTTGGGAGCCGGCTCTGTCCTTGCTTCCCATCATTTTCTTCACCTCCAGCGATATTAAATCTCTCTGTACTCCTCTACCAAGGTTCCTAAGTGTCTGAACTATGTCCCAAATCATCCCAGAAATTCATATAAACCCAGTATGCATCATTAACAAAAATTAAAAACACATATCATGAATTAATTTATAGGATAAATCAATTTCAATTAAAAACACATAATAAAGTTTAAACTTTGAATTAACATGCATACAAGACCAATTTTAATGTCTGATTAAATCCTGAAGATTATCTAGGCATGTACAGAACATAAGTTTAAGGGAAGGAGTAAGAGAATAACTTGCCTCAAGTTTCAGTTTGAAACTTAATCTCCTTCTTCCTAGATTTTCCAGCGACCTTAGTTGTCGTCGAAGCTCTCTGTAAACTCTCTGTATCTCTTCCTCCACTATTACGTGAATAGGTTTTTTTTAAACCCTAAGGCAGATAGCACTATGTATATTTATAGGCGTATCTAAAACCAACCCTAATCCTAATTGCACCCTAAGTCTAAATAAAAAGAAAAAGAAAATAAATAATACCTTATATATATATATAAGCAACAGACAACGTGAAATACAATTATAAATATACATACATATATATATATATATATATATATATATAATATACTTTATATTTATATATATACTGATTGTGATAATATTACTAACTATTTATTTGAATAAATAATAGTACTCTCCCTATATACACCTCTCCCTATATACACATACCCATAAATATATGTATAATAATCCATGGGTAAATATTTCTATCCATTTAGACTCCCATCCAAGTAGTCCATAAAACCCAAGACAGTTGGTCCATTACTACTATTCAAGCCCAACTCCTTTAAAATAAAATAAACAGAATAAATATTTAACTTAGACAATTAATTAAAACAAAACACTTAGGATACATCATCTAATCACATTATTTAATTAACTAAATTATTCAAATAAAACAACAAATAAACAATTAGATAATAAAATCAATTTCATAAGTAACCAATTAGCCAAATAATCACATAATCAAATAAAAATTCAATTAAACAATTAATTAAATACTGAGACTATCCTTTTAAAATTAGGGGTATTATATTCTTCCCCCTTAACAAAAGAAATTCCGTCCTCGGAATCTTACCTTCTTCCATTATTTCAAGAAACTGTAAGCGAATGGCATCCTCCCGTTCCTAAGTAGACTCAACCTTATTATGTTGACTCCACTGGACACGCACCAAAGGTATAACCTTATTGTGAAGAATCTGATCCATACGATCGACAATACGACACGGTGGCTCCAACTCAATCTCACCAACATCAATATACTGATAACGACCCGCATCTCGTAGAAATTTCTGCAACATGGAAACATGAAACACATTGTGCACACAATCTAAATGGTCAAGAAGTGCTAACCGATAAGCCATAGCTCCAACTCGATCCGTAATTATAAATGGACTGACAAACAGCGGTGACAGCTTCCCTTTCTTCCCAAAACGCATTACTCCTTTCATAGGAGACATTTTGAGTAGAACCTGATCTCTGACCTAAAACTCCAATGCACGAGTACGACGATCGGTATAACTCTTCTGCCTACTCTGGGTAGTGCGCATGCGATCCCTAATAAGAGAGATCTTTTCAGAGGTATCCCCAATGAACTCAGGATCCAAAAATCTACTCTTTCCAACCTCCATCCAACAAACAGGAGATCGACATAGTCGGCTATACAACACCTCAAATGGTGTCATACCAATAGTCTTCTGGAAGCTATTATTATACGCGAACTCCACAAGTGGCAAATAATTCTCCCTGCCTTTGAAGTCAAGAACACATGAACGAAGCATATCCTCCATGATCTGATTCAATCTGTCCATCTGTCTGAGGATGATAAGCAGTGCTAAGATGCAACTCTGTACCCAAAGTCTACTGAAAACTCTTCCAGAATCCTGACACAAAGCTCGAATCCTTGTCCGATATAATAAATAACGGAATACTATATAACTTCACAACCTCTGTAATGTAAAGTCTTGCCAACTGCTTTGAAGTGAAGTCAGTGCGAATAGGCAAGTAATGGAATTGTGATCCTTGAATGAATTAGGCAATCCCTCCACAAAATCCATAGAAATGCTTTCCCACTTCCACTCTGGTATAGGTAGTGGCTGTAGAGATCTTGGCGGCCTCTGATGATCAATCTTGACCATCTGACAAGTACTACACTGAGAGACAAAAATAGCAATGTCCTTCTTCATACCTCCCACCAAAACTGCTGCTTCATATCCTAATACATTTTGTCTCCTCCTGGATGAACAGAAAACTCAGAATGATGAGTCTTAGTCATTACATCCTTCCTCAAACTAAACGCCCTTTGTACCTCAAACCTCTATCAGTCCCAACACAGTAAAATGGAACCTCCCTATAAGCTATTTCTGCTACTTTGTCGATGCACTGCAAATCCGTGAGTTGTATCTTCAGGACTTTGTGAATGATAGAAGGTGTAACTACCATGCAAGCCATAAAAGTATCAGACAACTTATCAACGGTCTTCAAAGCATTCCACTCAATGGTGAATAAAGTAGAAAGACTCGCATAGGGTCGGCGACTGAGTGCATCTGCCATCACATTCGCTTTCCCTGGATGATACTGTATAGAGAAATGATAGTCTTTCACAAACTTTAACCATCGACATTATCTCATATTCAGCTCCCACTAAGTGAATAAATATTGCAGCCTCTTGTGATAACTAAATAATCTGAAGGACTCTCCCAACAGATAATGCCTCCAAATGCGTAAGGCAAAGACCACAGCTGCCAACTCCAAATCATATGTTGGATAATTAAGCTCATGAGGCTTAAGCTTACGAGATCCATACGAAATTGGTTGTTCCTCCTGCATCAAAACACACCCAAGACGTTACAAAGAAGCATCTGTGTAAACCAGATATTCTATCCCGCTCTGTGGAGTAGACAGAACCGGTGCAGAAGTCAACTTATTCTTTAGCTTATCAAAAGTTTTCTGACAGTGTTCATCCCACACAAACCGTACACCCTTCTTAGTCAAATGAGTGAATGGTCCTGCTATCTTTGAGAACCCCTAATGAACCTACAATAATATCCTGCTAATCCGAGGAAACTCTGAATCTCAGTAGGTGAAGTAGGCTGTCCCCACCCTACTACTGCTAAAACCTTGGCTGGATCTATCGCTATTCCCCTTTCTGACACTATGCCCCAGAAACTTCACTTTCCGCTGCCAAAATTCACACTTCCCGAACTTGGCATATAACTGGTGTTCATAAAATGTCTGCAACACAGTGCGAAGATGTCTAGCATGATAGTCCTCTGTCTTTGAATAGATCAAAATATCATCAATGAATACAATGACAAACTGATCTAAGTAAGCCTTAGAGACTCTGTTCATTAAATCCATGAAGACTGTTGGTATGTTAGTCAATTTTAAAGGCATGACACGAAACTTATAAGAACCATATCTAGTGAGAAACGTTATTCTAGGAACATCTTGCTCCCTAACCCGAAGTTGATGATATACAGAACGCAGATCAATTTTGGAGAAGTATATAGCTCCCTTCAACTGATCAAAAAGATCATCGATTCTGGGCAAAGGATACTTGTTACGAATAGTAATCTTGTTCAACTCCCTGTAATCTATACACAGGCGAAGTGTACCATCTTTTTTCTTCACAAACAAAATTGGTGCTCCCCAAGGTGAAGTACTCCTACGAATAAAACCCTGACTGAGCAATTATTGAATCTAATCCCTCAGCTCTCGCATCTCCACTGGTGCCATCCGATATGGTGCTCTAGCAATAGGCGTAGTACCTAGAGCTAAGTCAATCACAAAATCTATCTCTTGACTTGGTGGCAACCCTATAATCTCTTGAAAAACCTCTGAAAATTCCTGTACAACTGGTATGTTATCCAGTGACACAATAATCTCCTCCTCAGTCTCCTCCCCTACATAGAACAAATAAGTGCTAGTAACCCCGTTAGAACGTGGCATAGCGATGACGTACATATCCTGACCAGGTATAGTGAATACAATAGACCTATTATTACAATTAACTTGAGCATGGTAGTGAGATAACCAATCCATCCCAAGTATCATGTCATAAGTGTGTATGTCCGGACTAATAGATTGGCTAGAAATCTGAGTCTACCAATATACAGTGCCACAGGCCCATCATTCTCATGTAAAATGGCAGTATTGCCTACGGGTGTAGAAATACCATGAGGTCTATCGCATACTCGCGTCGTCATCCCAGATAATGCAACAAATGATTTAGACACGAATGAATGTGTAGCACCCATATCAAATAAAACACGACCATGTGTACCATAAATAGGAAACATACCCTCAACAGCCTGAGGTGCCTGAACATCCTGTGGCATGGGGTTGTACACCCTGCCATAATACAACTGCTGCGGTGCCTATCCCTGAGGCTGTGGAGTGCTGGTAAAGCCGGATATGTATGTTCCTGAATCCATGGAATCTGTGGAGCTGGTAAAGGTAATGGTGCTCTCTGTCCCTGTTGCACATGCTGTCCCTGTCCCTATCCTGCTTTAGGACACTACCTGGAAGTGTGACCAAACTCTTCACAAGTGTAGCAGCTACCGTAGAAAGTGCCAAATTTCCTCCTCTGTTGGTTAGCCTATGGCTGACCCTGTCCTGCCTGTGGTCCCCCATTCCGCTGCCTCAGAATAGGTGCCTCATCTCTGTGAACATCAGAACCACTCTTATGCTTCTTCCAAGACTGCTGTCCCTGGAATCTGCCCTTATCATTGTGTTGGTGTCCATTACCATTCATTTTCTTAGCTGACTGATTAACAGAGTCACTGTCACCCCGCTTCTCTCCCCTAGTCTGTCTGAAGTCCACGGTCAACTGATACTGCTGTAGAGCAGCATCTACCACCTGAGCATAAGTAGTGTAGGCTGGACTACCTATAATAGATCGCTTAATAGACCACATTAGTCCCTCAACGAAACTATTACGTTTCTTTTCCTTTATATTTACCTCATCTGGAGCAAAAAGAGATAAGCGCGTAAACTGCTGCGTATACTCTGCCACTGTTATGTTCCCCTGATCTAGATTAAGGAACCCTGTCTTTATAGCTATCCTGGCTGCATATGGAAAGTACTTCTCATCGAAATGAGTATTGAACTGATCATAGGTCAATTAAGTCTTCTCTTCTACAGTGGTAGCTGACTCCCACCACTGGAGTGCATCTCCGACAAGCTTAAAGGTAACAAGCATCTGCTTCTGAACCTCTGTGCACTTAACCATGCGAAGATGTCGCTCGATGCCTTTCTTCCACTGGTGAGCTACTTTCGCTTCGATGGAGCCTAAAAACTCAAGTGGGCTCCCCTTTGTGAAAGAACTCCTAGCCTTTTCCCAATGATCAATCTGAACCACTGGTGCTGGTATAGGTACCTGCTGTACTTGTGGCTGATTCCGAAGTGCAGCTGTTACACCTGTTTCTATAGCCCGAGCAATGAGGTCATTTAGATGAGGAGGATATTCTGGATCCCTGCGTTCATTATAGCCCCGATCTTGAGACTTCTAAGTCTGCTGAACTGCCTCTTGTTCTACGTGCAACTGACCACCATTATCCTGAAACCCAGACAATCATTGCTTTTCCTCCATTTACTGACACTAAAGGAAATCTTGCTGCCTACGTGCCGCTTCCCTTCACTGCCTGTTTCTCTTATTATTCCATTTGGTTCTAGCGTTAACCATTTTGTTAACATAGAAAGACAGACATCAGTACGATGATAACGAATCATAAAGGAATATAACGAATCCTAAACTTAAGCTCTAAACAAGAGAATACGCTACGCTATTATGAAATAACCCTAGAGACTCTTGAACCTGGAGTGCTCTAATACCAACTGTGATACCCCTTGATTCTAGAGCCACGAGTGATCAAGTCCGAGCATAAATCCGAGGGATACCAAATAATTAAGTAAATAAACAAGCATGGATTACAAAAAGAAATAAGAATAAATACATAATTAAGCTGGAAGAAAACTAAATAATAAATCCTCGAAATTCTAATTAAATAATCCTCTAATACAATTTTCAAAGCCTCTAATAATATTACAACTTGGGAATCTATCTAGTGGATCCCTAATAAAATCCCAACTGGAAATAAATAACTGAACTAAAAGAAAATCCAAAACTAAAACATAAAGAATAGTCTTACGTAGTTGGAAGAGTGAGTATCTGTCTCTGCTCCGCACGAAAAAGCTCTAACACTGGAACTGTCGAACACCTGAAAAATAATAGTGGGTCAGGCCCACGAACAAGTTCTACTCTACTACAATCCAAATAGAGACCCGATAAATATATACATCCTAGATAACTCAACAATAGCTAATTAGTCCATATATATATATATATATATATACACACACACACACTGATGAGCACTGAAAAGTGCGCATTTAAACCCGTTAAGCTTAAGCATTCTAGTACCTTTATCTATCTTAC